TAAAAAATCCACGCCTTTTAAAAATCCACGCCCTGAAAAAATATTTTTAAAAAATCCATGCCTTGTATTGGTCCTTAAAAAAATATTCTTTAAAAAATCCACGCCCTGAAAAAATATTTTTAAAAAATCCATGCCTTGTATTGGTCCTTAAAAAAATATTCTTTAAAAAATCCACGGCTTGTATTGGTCCTTGAAAAAATATTCTTTAAAAAATCCACGCCTTTTATGGATCCCTGAAAAAATGTCCTTTAAAAAATCCACGCCTTGCCTGGATCTCTGAAAAAATATTCTTTAAAAAATCCACGCCTTGTTAAGACCCTGAAAAAATATTCTTTAAAAAGTCCACGCCTTGTATGGATCTCTGAAAAAATATTCGTTAAAAAATGTACTGCTATTATGGGCCCTGAAAATATTGATTAAAAAATCTTTCGAAAAATATTCTTTAAAAACTCCACGCCCCTGTGAATCCGTTGAAAAATATTCTTTAAAAAATCCCCGTCGTATTTAAAACCTGAAAAAAAATCTTAATAAATCCACGTCTTATTTAGACCCTGAAACTATTCTTTAAAAAAACCGCAACTTGTTTAGACTCTCAAAAATAATCTTTAATAAATCCGGGTGAATAATTCTGATACTCGCGAAATCCTGTTTGTTAATTCGAAGTTAACATTTGAGTATGTGCGATAAGAATTTGCTGCCTCTTGTGGTAAATATTTATCAAGGTATTTTAAAAAGTAGGTTATATATTCATTTCCGTTTTCAGTTTTCAAGTCAAATAAAGTATGAGGTGTAGTTATGTAAATAAGTCTCAACAAAGGTATTTTTAAATTCCCCCTCCGCTGGAATGCCTTATGACCTGCCATTCTTGCATTTAACAAATGCTTAACCACCTGCAAGCAGCAATTGGTTTACAATTTCCATTTTTTATAATACTTTCTATTGGGGCTGTGTGTATGTGTTTGTCCGGAAGTCCTCCTAACACTTTCACACCTCATCAAAATGGGGGGTGGTGGTGTAATAAATGTGGCCTTAATTTTCTTGGCTGCACAGAAAAAGGAGTGGTGTGCTAAAAATACAAACAAACTTCCTCCATAACCATTTCAATTTCTTGGCCATTGTGTTTACAATGGCAGTCACCCAGCCAGTCAGTCAGTCAGTCAAACAAAAGCACATTCCGTTTTCTTAGACAGTTTTATTAGAAGTTTGTCGGGGCACTAAGCACTTATTTTTATGTATTTCTAATAAAGGGTAACTTGGCAGATAAACCCTTTTTCTTCTTATTTCAGTTATTGTAAATGCCAAACCATTGAATATTCTGGGACATGCATGGCTCCAACAATTGCAGTCAAGGAGATCACAAATTATATCCCTTGTCTATTTAAAATCTAAAAACAATGCTGCTCCCATTGAAATTGTTCGCAATAAATGCCAAAAAAAAAAATATTTGCTACACCTTAAACAATTATCTATGAAGGTTAAATTATTTTCGAAGTGCTATATCCTGCACTTCGAAAATTAATTTAAAGATTTTTAAAGAATATGTTTTCAGGGTCTAAATAAGGAATTGGAATTTTTAAAGAATATTTTTTTCGAGATCCATACAAGGCGTGGATTTTTTAAAGAAGACTTTTTCCCGAGATCCATACAAGGCGCGAATTTTTAAAAGAAGACTTTTTTCAGGGATCTACACAAGGCGAGGATTTTTTAAAGAAGACTTTTTTCAGAGATCCATACAAGGCGTGGATTTTTTAAAGAAGACTTTTTCCCGAGATCCATACAAGGCGTGGAATTTTTAAAGAATATTTTTTTCGAGATCCATACAAGGCGAGGATTTTTTAAAGAAGACTTTTCTCAGAGATCCATACATGAATTTTTTAAAGAAGACTTTTTCAGGGATCCCCACACGGCGTAGATTTTTTAAAAAAGACTTTTTTCAGGGATCCACACAAGACGTGGATTTTTTTAAAGAAGACTTTTTTCAGGGATCCACACAAGGCGTGGATTTTTTAAAGAATATTTTTTCAATTTTCTCCTAAAATACTTGTACGTCCATACTTATAAAATATCTCAAGAAAGTCTCCAAAAATTCCGCACATTTTTTGTTTTATTTTCAATGAAATTGACAACAATAACAATTCTGCTGATGTGATGACGTAAATCTATTACAAATAAATTTATTGGCCATTGTGTTCATAGTTCATGAATTAGAGCAAACATTGACTGAATACAAGGCAGCAAATATTACCCTTAACATAGATTTCGTTGGGCGCCAAAATGGCTGCCAGAAAAAATGTTGTACCAAAATAGAGGCTTAGCTGCTCTCTGACTGGGTCAAATAAAACTTTCTTAAGAAAAAAAAAACAAAAAAATAGTGCCTCTGGTGACGATGATGATGTCAACGTACCAAGGAGAAAACAACATACAGATACAAACATTACAATATAAGGATAACAATGATAACCCACATATTAAAAACTGCCAACAACAACAACATTTGCTGGAAACTATAACAATAATAACCCACACTTATTTCTAATTTTTTAAATTTGTATTGAAGACAGAACATATTTTGGATCAATGACAATAATTGCCATAAACTAGGCCTGAAATACCAGAAGAATAGGTCATCATTTTTATGTTGTTGTTATTGTTTAGAAATTTTATTTTCGTTTCTGATCCAATTTCTTGAATAGGAGGCATAACTTTTGACATTTCATTTCACAGTTTATAGGTCATAGTATCCTCCCACATGTTTACACAAAGTTGAGGTCAAGTGAAAAGAAACCTGAAAGAGCATTTCCAAACATTTCAAATAAATAAACATAAAATTATTGACTCATAACCGTTTTGAAGCACTACTCAGTAATGTAAGCTCACATTTTATATTGCAAATAGTTTCATGAATGTGAAACTAGTTTCACTCACATTCATGGAATGGCTCATATATACTAACCAGCTTCTATCTTTGAAAACAAGTATAGCACACTCATCAATATATATATATATATATTTGCTTTTTTAAATTATGACCATTAAACCAGCTACACATAGCGATGAAAATGATTGAAGATTCAATGGAATGAAAAAAACAACAAAATATATAAAATGATTTGTAATATATAAATTTAGCCTGTGGGATATTAAATGGCGTTAAGTTGTTAATTTGTTTCGAATGAATGATTTATTAGTGTGTTGATTAGTCACTCGTTCGTGCTACTTAAATGGGTGCCTTTCATTCATTTAATAATATATATATTTTTTAAAAATCCACGCCTTGTGTGGATCCCTGAAAAAAGTCTTCTTTAAAAAATCCACCCCTTGTGTGAATCTCTGAAAAAACTCTTCATAAAAAAATCCACGCCTTGTGTGGATCCCTGAAAAAAGTCTTCTTTAAAAAATCCACGCCTTGTGTGGATCCGTGAAAAAAGTCTTCTTTAAAAAATCCACGCGTTGTGTGGATACCCTGAAAAAACCACTTTGGGTAAATTCAACTTGTGTGAATCCTAACAAGCGTCGCATTTTTAAAAAACCACGCCTTGTGTGAAATTGGATCCATAAAAATGTCATTCTGCAAAAAATTAAATTTTTGTGTGGTCAGGTATAAAGCTATATTTAAAAAATCCACGCCTTGTGTGGAAACTTAACACACGCCATTCTAAACCTTATTATTTAAAAAATTTCGTGAAAACCGAACGAAAAAAGGGACTTTGGTAAAAAAAATTTACCTTAAATCGGACGAAAATATATATCGGTGCTATATCTAAATCTGAACCGATTTTCAGGAAACTTAACGCACATCATGCTAGACCTAATTCATTACGCTGTGCCAAATTTCGTGCAAATCGAATAATATATAGGGACTTTGGTACACCATTAAAAAAATCCATCGACGAAGATATATATGGGAGCTATATGTAAAAAATCCAGATTTGCAGGAAACTTAACACACATCATTATATAAAAAATTCATTACGCTGTGCCAAATTTCGTGCAAAAAGATATACGCCTTTGGTGCACCATTTACAAAAATCCACGAAAACATATATGGTAGCTATATGGAAATCTGAACCGATTTTCAAGAAACTTAACACACACCATAAATCAGACGAAGATATATATGGGAGCTATATGTAAATCTGAACAGATTTGCAGGAAACTTAACACACATCATTATATACTTAATTCATTACGCTGTGCCAAATTTCGTGCAAATCGAAAGAAATATAGGGACTTTGATGCACCAATTACATGAAATCGGGCGAAAATATATATGAGAGCTATATCTAAATCTGAACCGATTTTTCCCGATTTAAAAAATACGCCTCCTTGGTAGGCCATATATGTGATGCAAAAAACATGAAATTGTTAGGCCTTCTTTAAAAAATCCACGCCTTTGGTAGGCCTTCTTTAAAAAATCCACGCCTTTGGTAGGCCTTCTTTAAAAAATCCACGCCTTTGGTAGGCCTTCTTTAAAAAAATCCACGCCTTTGGTAGGCCTTCTTTAAAAAATCCACGCCTTTGGTAGGCCTTCTTTAAAAAATCCACGCCTTTGGTAGGCCTTCTTTAAAAAATCCACGCCTTTGGTAGGCCTTCTTTAAAAAATCCACGCATTTGGTAGGCCTTCTTTAAAAAATCCACGCCTTTGGTAGGCCTTCTTTAAAAAATCCACGCCTTGTGTGGATCCGTGAAAAAAGTCTTCCTTAAAAAATCCACGACTTTGGTAGGCCTTCTTTAAAAAATCCACGCCTTTGGTAGGCCTTCTTTAAAAAATCCACGACTTTGGTAGGCCTTCTTTAAAAAATCCACGCCTTTGGTAGGCCTTCTTTAAAAAATCAACGCCGTTTATGGTTCACTGAAAAAATCTTATTATAAAAAATTCACGCCTTGTGTGGATCCCTAAAAGTCTTCTTTAAAAAGTGTGAATCCCTGAAAAAATCCACTCCTGTAATAGGCCTTTGTAGATTTATTTTTAAATCTTTTATTTTTTCTTTCCTTTATAGCTGCCGATCTCAACAATCCAAATAATCGCCTACAATGCTGGCATTGCAGTTCGGATACCGTTGGTGCTGAAGACTTTTGCGGCGAAGTGTTCAACGAAGACAACATTCCCGTGGATTTGCTAAAGGAACGCAACCTTAGTGTCTTGCGTGCCTGCAATAGCAGCATTAAATCGGAACATGAAAGGCCAGTTTGTCGTAAAACTGTAGAAGAAAGTAAGTCACACACGAATTCATTCGTCTCTCGTTTTTTAATTATGTAAATGAGGATATTTTAAAGGACATTAACAAATAACCCCGCTTCCCTGTCCCTCTCATTTCAGTTAATGGACAAACGGTGACAAAACGTTTCTGTTACTACACCAACAAATCGGATACCCTGAATCATTGCATGGATGATCCCACCGAGAAAAATGTCCATCGTGTTTTCTGTGAAGATTGTCTAACGGAGAAGTGTAATGGAGCCATGGGCATGGGTGGGGGTAATAATTACTTGGGTGTCCTGTCGTGTGCTGTCACATTGATAATTATTTTTGTGTGCAAATTTGATCATGTTTAAATGCGTGTTGCGCGAAAGGAAATTTCAAATGTATACTCTATGTGTGGTGGAGCAGCAGTAGCACAACCAAGAAAAAATTTAAAATAAAAAAAATAGAAATCCTCCCTCCCCAACCATTAAACATCTAACTTCCGTATTACAATTAAGCCAAAAAAGTGTATGATTTTGATTATTTATTTTGTGATATATTTCTTTATGTTAATTTGTATTTTTTTATTTTAATTAATATTAAGGTTTAATATTTGTTAAGTAGTTAGTAATACCTATAAATATTAAATTAATCTTATTGAGATTTAAATATTATTTTAAGTACTTTCCACCAAAGAAATATGGTATCAAGTGGTATTGATTGGTAGTTCGTGAAATTTTGAGCTGCAAAAAAAAAGGTTTCTTGAATATATTTTTCTCTGGCACCGCCGAGGACACATTATTAAAAATAAAAATGAAAGATATATATATATATATATATATATAAGAAAATGTTATTCACAAAAGATCCTGACGACGCCTTTCAACTGGTCATATTTATTTTTTACACAGTTATCTTCTGTGATGTTAAGTTTAGCTTTATTTTATATTAGAATTTAATAATATTAATTTAATCGTATTATTTTAAGCCAAATTGGCCAATATTTATAACAATATTTATTTCTAAAATTAAATTATTCCTAAAAAATATTTTTTTTTAAATTGAAAACAAAAATGCCTTAAACTAATACAAATAAAATAGCGCCGTGCAAAAAATTTCTCAAAAAAACAACAACAATAAAATAAATGATTTTTGACAAGTTGACGTCCGAGCTTTAAAATTAAAAAAAAAATGCCTTAAGTTCGCCTTGATATTATACTTTTTGTATTTAAGATTAACATACAGATACTATTTTATAAGCATCTATTTCGCCATACTATTTGTAAATGTTCAATGTACACAAAAATGCACAATTAATTAAAACAAAGAAAAATAATAAGAACCTCCGAAATATTACAGAACAAAACAAAATAAAGTTACATTAAAAATAAAACAACTGTTTTTTTTAATTTATTGAGATAATGGACCTATTTGACCAGATAGTATAAATTAAACAAATTAAATTAATATAAATCCAATAGAAAATATATTTCCCAATTTCAGTATTCCCGCCCAATCATTCACACAAATATAAATTCACCAAATTTAGTATGAATTTCTTCGTTCATAGTCCACAACTACACCCCAACAAAAAAATACGATTCTCCCAAATCCACATTTGGTACCATTTATTACACATGTGTACATATTTCCAAAAATTCCTACATATCCCAATCCTAGACCCCAACAATCATCCTATCTCGAAATTTGAGGATCCCAGATCTATCGTTTCACCATAATTGTAAATTGTAACAAATTTAGTACACATTAGTACCAATTTCCAAAACTTCTTACATAGCTCAATTCTACATCCCAACAGTGATCTTAACTTCAAATATCAAGATTCCAGCTCTATCAGTTTACCCAAATCCAAATTGTACAAAATTTAGTACACATTAGTACAGCTTTCCAAAACTTCCTACATATCTCAATCCAACGCCCCAACAGTGATCCTGACTCCAAATTTCAGGGTTCTAGCTTTATCGGTTCATCCAAAATTCAAATTGTAATAAATTTAGTACCATTGTTGAGGTTCCATCGATTATGTAATCGAAAAGTCTATTTATTGGTACCTCAACTACTACCTATCGTCATCAGAGAAGAACGATCCCTAAGGAAGAAGAAGCTGAAAGCTAAAATACTTTGCCGCAAAAACATTAAGGATTGCTTTTAAAGGAATAAAACATTAATTCAGACCGCCAGAGTCCTTAAAGTTAACAAGTGTTTTATTTTTCCAACCTCCACCAGTCCTAATTAGCAACACATAAGTATCGCCTGTATACTTGTTGTGTTGTCTAATATTCATATTTATTGTTGTTCGTCTTTGTGCAACAAATATTTTCGGTTCTAAAGCTACTCTGTATGGGTACAACCATTTAGTACCCATAAGTATAAATTTCTTAAACCACAATTTAGTACCTTTCATACAAATAAGTACAAATTTCTAAAACTACCTTCGTATTGCTATCATACACTCCGACGGTAATGTAAATTTCAGGATTCTAGCTTGATCCGTTTCACCAAATTCAAATTGTACTCAATTTAGTACAGTTTAGTACTTTCCATATACACGAGTACACGCATTCAAAACCACCTACTTATATCGACACTACTTCTCAACCATCGCGTTCCAAATTTCAAATTCTGAGCTGTGTCCATTCACATGCCACGAAATTGTACCAACTTTAGTACATTTTAATACTTTTCGGATAATTATAATTCGAATGTCCAAAAATTCCTTTGTTACATCTATTCTACACATCTATTTCTACATTTTGTACTTTTCCACACATCAGCTATATCTGAATGAAACGATTTAAAAACATGTAAATACGTAATTTACTACCCTCCATCATGTGGTGGAGGGTAATCGTTCGATATCTTTATATATATCGTGGCCACGGTATCTTTATGTGCCATGGTAAATTTACGGTAGGAAGATTTGTTACCCTATTCGAATTCAAAATCTTAATCTTAAACAGGTGCCCAAATTCTCCAAAGCACAGACAATTCGGTTAAAAATCGTGCCAACAAATTCGAAAATTTGAGGTACCGTTGTATTGGGGTTATACCAAAACGTAGAACAATATATCCGATTATTAATAACAAACATCCTAGGAGTAGTAGCAATGTATGTGCAAAATTTTCAAAGCTCTGTATCAAATACAGCGATCTCTATCGTGATTTCAAGAGACACAAACGGACAAGCATAAGTCGACATGAAGAATATATTTTCATATATTCCGGTGTTTGCCAGCGGAATGAAAATGTGAATATACACTAAAAGTTATGATGAAAGGTATAATTAGAGGATATCGAAAAAAATGTCAATTAATTGATGTCTATACAAAATAAAAATTGTAATATTGAAAATTAAAAATAAAAACTGAAAAATGTCTTACCTTTGATTCCATTCTGGAGAATAACCATCCACATCTAGTAACTTGATATGACAAATATTAATTACCGACGTTTCCGAACCATAACACATTTATTTGAAACAAATTAATAGAAACCATAACGTGGAACTTCGAATTATAATTTTTTAAATCGCCAATATTTGTGGTACATGTTTTCTACATGAAAACAGAATCTACAGAACTTTCCAACCTATGAAAAAAGATTTTTTAAATTTTAAATAAATTTGGAATATGTTGATGTATATTGTCGAACTTACTAAAATATTCACAGGGTTCCATATATTCCAATATGGTTTAGAATTATAGAGTAGAAAATATGATACAACTGATTTAGATCCAGTAAAAATTTAAATCCATTTATAGTGGTGTAGGATATCATATTTCCGGCCTCATCCGACTACACTTCTTCACTCTCTGCTTTTGTATATATATTTTTTGCATTTCCGCTGGCGCACTTTTTAATAAAAGTTAACAAAGTTCATCATACTCTCACAAAACGCCGGTGTATTAAAGTTCGCCTGCGGCAAGAAAGCAAATGCCCAACATGGGAATTTCATGAAACCGTTAGCCGTAAAAGTAGAACTTTTAATACTAATTTTATTGTATTTTACACAATTTTTCGCATTAAATTTCATATGGCACATATTCCCGACACTTTAGTACACACTTTTCAATAGTTTTTATAATTTAAAATACTGTATTAATTTAAATAATTGTTAAAAACCGAGACACGACGAAAGCGACCATGACGAAAACCGACCGATAACTGAATTGCCAACATTAGGTACAACAAGTTATCGATTACGTCGATTACGAACGTGTAGAGAAACGAGTAGTTGCTTATTTTTATATTTTGCAAATTGAAAATTATAATAATTAAAGCATTTTAATTAATAAATAATTTCTTATTAACAATTTGTGGAATATTACATGACATATTAGGTAGTCTAAAGCAATGAACTGTTTTAAGTTATCATTCGATGTACAAATTACCCCATATTATAGCTTCTAATAACATAAAATTGGAATATTTAAAACCCTGGTATTATTGAATATTTGGGTATATTCAAAATCGTATATCAAGATCGTTGAGATGAATATGAAGTGCAAAAAATCTTCTTTCATAGAATGACAACATCTTCACACGAAGACATACATGATTATTACCTCATACCACATTTCACAATAATTTTGAATACTATTATACAAACAGGTCAATACCCTGATTCGCTAAAGATTTACAAAGTTGTACCAATTGCAAAAACAGGTTTCAATAATATAATTTCTAATGTTCGTCCTATATCGTTTTTATCTGCAATTAACAGTGTATTCGAAAGGATTTTATACAATCAGCTGACTGATTACATTCAGGAAAACAACTTGATTAATCAAAATCAGTATGGTTTCCGCAAAGGAGGAAGTACAGAGGAAGTTCTAATCAATATTCTAAATTATACTTGTAAATCTATTGATGAAGGATATATAGTAGCTGGTATATACAAAATTTTATTGCAAAAGCTACACTATTATGGGTTTCGCAATGTATCCCTTCTAAAGTCGTATTTGAGAAATAGAAAGCAATTTGTCCAAAATTCGTTATCGTAGTAAAAAGTAGTAGATTCTTGCAGTACGGGAACTGGCCATATGCTGGACTACAGTTTTAATTTCGTCAAGTAAGCCTATCTCTTGTTATTGTACCATTACTCCGAGTACATAATTCACTATAATTGGTATCAATTAAAATTCAAAAGTATCAATTAAAATTCGGAGTATTTATATATATCATTAAATGTAAATTTTGACGTTTTCATATATATACTATCATCATTAAAAAAGCATACTTATTTGTGGAATGGATCTTGTGCAAAATTGCCAGATGTTTTAGTCATAATTTTGACCCGTAAAGCGACTAGTGAAACAGACAAAAGTAAAGCTTCTGGTCCAATTAAACC